TTTCCACTGTCCCAGGGTGCTCCAAGCCCTGTCCCTGTCCTTGGGCACTGCCAGGGATCCAGGGGCAGCCACAGCTTCTCTGGACACCCTGTGCCAGGGTCTCAGCACCCTCACATGACACCTGGAACCCTCACAGTACCTCAGCCCCATCATCCCAGCCTGGGGAGCTCTGCAGGAGGGATAAAAACGGCCTTTCCCCCCTTTTTCCTTGCCTTTAACCCAGATCAGATCACAGATCCAGGCCTGAGCAGTTCCCTGGGGCAGCACACACAGCCAGGGGTGGGGAATGGGAAAGAGTCCCAGGCCAAAATTACACAGTCCAAACTGTGCTGGTACAGCCAGTCCCGCTGCCAGCTGAGGAACAGTGCTCAAATACCCTGGCTTGGCCCCAGGAAAAGCCCTGGAGAGCAGAGCAAGCCCTGCCCCGTGAGCCTCAAAGCAGGGACAAGAAACCAGTCCCCACTGAGCCTGGCTCCAGAGCCAGAGCCCTCAGAGCCACGCTGGGATGGCAGTTGGCTCCAGAGGTTTGGGGAAAGGGGGAGATGAAAGGCACCACCAATTGATGGGGCCCCACAGCCACATCCTGAAAATGAGTTTGGCAATGCTGGCTGAAAAACTCCGGCTGAGCAGGCGGGATGCCAGTCCTGGTCCTGCCCCAGGGCAGTGAGGGACCAGCTACTGACTCCAGGGCAGGGTTTCCCTCTGGAGGCCCTTAGGAAAACACCACGGAACAGACACGTGCCTGCAGCCACGTCCCCAGCCATCCTGGCTGCTTCCACACCGGGTCCAAGCCAGCAGAGTGGGTGGCAGGATGGGGACACGAGCTTGGCTTTGCAGCCAACCCTTGTAGGTGGCTGGATGGGCACAGCTCATTGCTGCAGCCAGGCCACAGCAGCCTGATGTGCTGCCAGAAGGGAGCAGGACATCCTTTTCCCACCAGGAAAGAGTCTGCATGCACCCACTCCCAAACTTCACCTGGCCACAGGATGGGGTATCTCCCACCCATCTTCCCCCGAGGTCACAGCCAGAGTTCCAGGAGTGTTTGAACAATGCTGTCAGGGATGCACAGGGTGAGATTGTTGGAATGTCTGTGCAGGGCTTGGACTGGATGATCCTGGTGGGTCCCTTCCAACTCGGCCCATTCTGTGCTCTCCCCTTTCATTCCTATCCCATGAGCTCCCCTAAAACCCCGAAATGCCGACAGCCCGGCAGGAGCAGCGTGGAGCCCCGTGGGTGCTGTGNATGTGCCACAGGAGGCACCAAGTGCTCAGTTTCCAGGCAAGGATTCAGCCAAGGCTGAGACAGAAAACATCCTCATTGCAGCCTCAGATCCCTAACATTTAACACAGCTTCCCCACTCCCCCAGGGCCCCCTCCTGGGGAAGGTCTCTCCTGTTTACACCCATCAAATGCCAAATCCAGTTTCTCCTGCCCTGATGGGGTGATGTGGGTGGGATGACAGGAACTCCATGTGAATGTTGACTTTCCAATGACACTGTTCCAGCCCAAACACCACCCTCTGCACTAGGCAGCCGAAGAGGGCTGGCATGCCAGCGGTGCAGCAGAGGAATTATTTGATTCCCCTGCCCTGCAGCATGCTGTCTGCCAGGAAATTTTCATTTGGTCTCTCCAACTCGAGAACCAATTGTAAATGTCAGTGCTAAACACTCAGATTTAAGTGTTGGGTTGTCTTGTTTGATTACAGCACTGAAAGGTCAGAGCTGACTAATGGAAGTACAAGCGGTGTCAGGAGGGAAACTGTGTTCTGATGGGGGTGAGCAAACACCTGGGGACAACCTAATCACTCTTCCTGCTGCATCTCTCTCTTCCCTCTCCAGCTCCTTCAGTCAGGGCTGGTTTTTAGGTCTTACAACCTGGAAAAGCAATTTCTGGGGAAAATTCCTGCTTGTGACGTTGCTGCCGGGGATGCCGACAGCACTGGGTTTCCCTGTGGAGGGAACAGAGCTCATCTCACCATGGCCTGCCTGGATTTTCTCCCAAAGGGGAAGGGATTGCACCAGAATTGGGCTGCTGCCACCCCCACTGGCATCACCCACCTTTGATGCCAAAGTCTCTGTGCCTCCACTTCCATTCCCCATTTCAGCCCTGCTCTGGCAAGCAGCACCCCAAGAGCTGCACAGAGGAGAGAGCAGTACAGGGCTGTTTTCCCTCCTCCCTTCTCACACCTCTGAATTCCCCTTACCCTGAGCTGTTCCAGTTTTGGTGACCAAATAAAACTCCAGCTGCCTCAAAGTGACCGAGCTGAGGAAATCTGCTTTAACCTGAGCCCATTCCCATCACTCCAGCTCTGCAAGCAGAGTTCATTATATTTATTTTAAAGCTGCTTTTAAAAGTATTAGTCCATCTGCCTGGCAGAATAAAACCCTTAGGAGCTTCTGCTCCTCTCCAGAGAGCAGTGTGGTGGTCCCAAGCAGGAATGTTCATCATTCCATACAGATGCCATCCTGCACTGGGATCCAGTCCCTGCTGCCAACCCCAAAATCTTCCCTGGGCAGAGAAATTCAGTGATTCCAGATGTCTGAATGTTTCTGGACATTTACATCAGTGAGCATTGGAAATCTCAGGAAAACTAGGAGTGTTAGGGAATAACTGCAATGGTTTTTCCCCAAGAGTCTGGGGTCTGTGATGAGCACAGCCTGGAAAATATCCAGGGTCCCCAGGGTGCTCACAGCACCTCTCCAGACATCTTCCCAGGAATCCAAGATCCTGCTGGATTTTTCTCCAGGCTTTTCCTCCAGGCTGAGCCCCCCCAGCTCCCTCAGCCCCTCCTGGAGCAATTGTCTAATTCACAGCCCCCTTTGCAGGAGCATCCCTGGGAAAAGGATCCTGTTAAGTGAAGGATGATGCCAGGAGGGTGAAGAGGATGAGAAACCACCATGAAATGTAGAAGGGGAAAAAAATCCACATACCATCACCCCAAATACAAAGAAAGCCAAGAAAATAAATATCCAACTCCAAATGGAGCTATTTCCTCCCTGGCTCAGGCATGGAGCAGCAGCACTGGGAAAGTCAAAGCAGTTTGTGGTCCATAAGATTAATAGGAAATCTGCTCTGGATTGGGAACGATTCCCTCTTTTATTGCAATGAACCCCAAAGAGTAATGGCTGCAGGGCAAGAAGAGGAAGGTAAATTGCAGTAATAATGTGTTTCCTTGTGCTGACATGCTTTTGATCATAGAAAAATACAGCATCTGCTTCTAAATTACTTGTTGTATTGATTTAACAGTTAGGAATGGGGGCGGAGGGGATCTCTTTTTTTTTCTTTTGCAAATCCATTTTGCGAGGTCTCCTGGAAATCTGACAGTTATGTGCAATGAGAAGTAAGGGTTTGTTCATCATAAAAGATTCCTGCTGTCAGCCATGGGGCTGTGCTGGGAGGAATGGGACATCCCCTTCCTCTCCATCAGCCTGTCCTGCCAGGAGCTGTGCAGCTGAGTGCTGATGTACTCAATAGGAATTATTTCTTACACCAAATAAACTCTTACTGTGCCGATTCTTCCCTGTGAGGGTGGGCAGGCCCTGGCACAGGTGCCCAGAGCAGCTGTGGCTGCCCCTGGATCCCTGGCAGTGCCCAAGGCCAGGCTGGACAGGGCTGGGAGCAGCCTGGGACAGGGGAAGGTGTCTCTGCCATGGAATGAGCTGTAAGTTCCTTTCCAACCCAAACCTGTGGTTCTACGGTTCCTCCCTGCCCAGATCACACACACCTCACTGCCCTTGTTGATCTCAATTTCTGTGAATTTCCTTCCTTTTTATGGAACTCCTCCCCCTGCACCCCAAAGGCTGGCACAGCACCAGGGTCCCTGCCCTGGGGAGCAGTTCAGCAATGGCAAAAGCACCAGTGTGACCCCAAAACCTCCCTCAGGGCTCCCCCCTTCACAGGGCAGCAGGGTACCTGATATCATTAAAAACCACAGGATCAGGGAAGCTCTGGGTTGGAAGGGAACTTAAACCCAGCTCATTCCACCCCTGCCATGGCAGGGACACCTCCCACTGTCCCAGGCTGCTCCAAGCTCCATCCAGCCTGGCCTTGAACCCTTCCAGGGACCCAGGGGCAGCCACAGCTGCTCTGATATTATTTTGCTGCTAATCAGTTTTGTTCTTCTGCCTGCAGCCAGAGTGTTTTAGTCCCTGGCCAATGGCTTTCCTGGGAGACTCCAGGTGCCCCCATGGACAGGGCCAGTTAAAAAAGAGAAGGTTAACCCAGAACTCAGCACTGCAGTGATGCAAACAGAGCCATTTCTTGTGGTCCCAACAACTTTCCAAGCCTCTGCTGCTGTTCAGCCAGGCAGCTGCCCTTACTGGAAAAATACAAAAAACAAAACACAACTTTCTTGAGTTTGGAAATGATGCCCACCCTCCTGTGAGCATTCTAAAGTGTGGGGAATCCAAACCCACCTGATATCACCAAAGCTGGTGCTGGCATCAGCATGTCCTTCTCTGCCACTCCCAGCACAGTGCTGGGCACCTTAAAGATGTTCTGTCCCCACCTGAACCCCTCACAGTGTCCCCAGCACCACCAGGCAAATCCCTTCCTTCCCCTGGTGGAAAACACCCCAAGGCTCAGCCCAGGCACCACCCACAAACTGATTTTCAACTTCTCCAAGTGAAACCAGGAGACAGATCTTGGCTCCTGCTGGTTGTGATCTGCAAAGTTTATTTAACCCCCCAAAAAAGGCATTTCCATGCAGAATCTTTTGGTTCATAAAAGAAGTCATTGGGCAGCAGCCACCTGACATCCCTCCCCCCCAAACCAAGAAATAAAGTGACCCCAGAGTGCACAAAACCAAACGAACCGTCCAACTCCAACAGAGAAAAGTGGTTCCTATCATTCCATACAATATGGAAAAATTTGGCAAATACAGCTGATCTTGCAGTTCCTGTCCCTTAAGCACTTTAGAGCTGGTTTGGCCTTCAGCCCTTGGGGAAAAAAGACTCAGGGGGTCCTTGTGCTGCAGGACCTGGGGACTCTCCCAGGGGTCCGACCCACGTGTGGAAGAGCTGCCACATCAGCGTTTGCAAGTGGGCAATATAAATATAAAACATGGATACAAATGGGTTCTTTGTACAGAAAATATCATCTCTCAAGGCACTGGGGTGATGGCCACCTGTCCACTGGTGGGCTCCCAATGGCCTTCTCCAGCCACCAAGGCAGGAGGGGAGGAAGGCACCGGAGAAGTCCTGGTGCTGCCATCCAAGGGGGTTTCACCCCACAGCCGCCCCCAAACGCCTCGAGAGGGGTTTTCCTGGCTGGATGGGGCTTTTCCTTGGTGGGGTGACTGATCCCATGGGGCTGCAGTCTCCTTGGGATGCCTTGGGGCTGGGTTTGGCCAGGAGGGAGGTGCATAGATGGGCCAGGGGCTTGGGCTGCTCCGGCCGCTGCTGGGCTCCCTCGTCACGCCAGCAGCCCCAGCCGGGTCACCTTGGCCGACAGGAAGGAGTGGATGATGAAGACGATGGTCTTGGGGCAGGAGTGAAGGTCCAATTGCTGCAAAACAGGAAAGGAAGGATGTTTGTAATGGAGAGGGCTGTTCCTGCAGTAGCCAGCTTTCAGGCAGGTACCATCCAGAACTCCCCAAACCCACCACAGCTTTACTGGGGCCCTGGAAGGGCTGTGCCCGCTGGCTGAGGTGGGCAGGCCAGGGGTCACCCCTATGCCAGGCAGGATGGGTGCCATGAACAGGGTGGGTGCTCTGTGAATGGGGCTGCTGAAGGCAAAGCCAACTCACAATCTCTCCCTCTGGTCCACCAAAGTCCAGGTAGAGCATCTTGGTGCCATCATCCGAGGACATCTGCAGCTTCTCGAAGGGCTGCTGCAGCAGGATGGTCCTGCTGAGCCCGGGCTCGCTGGTGGAGATGGTGAAGCCCTTGTCGATGTGGACGGTCAGGGTGCAGTCCTGCCCCTTCCACGTGCACGCTGGGGACAAGGACAGGACA